GTAGACTACAATGCCGGTTGTTCTGACTCACAGACTGTAAGTACGTTTTTTATATGTAAAGGATTTGCCACTGATGACACGGCATCACAATATGGTAAGGGGCGTAACATTTCCATCACACGCTTGAGGTATTCAGCCAATCACAACACACTGGATAGCTGGCCAATCAGAGCACACCTCGCTTTTCAGACCGATGAGCTTTGTAAAAATCGACGTGTTTCAGAAAGTATAGTGTGTGTATAGTGTATAGAGGGGCATAGAGGAGAAACAATAATGTACAGTATGTGGAAAATAATGTGTTTTTTTAACCTTAAACTGCATTAACTCATTTCATTACACCAAATACACAAATATCAAACATCATATGACCCCTTTAATGTGAAATTCGAAGGGTATGACAATTAGATATTAGACTGTACAGAAATTGAAATCTACACACACTATACTTATAGTCACGCAATGCTGATGTTGTTAACATTAATAATCTGAGAATAAAGTATAACAATAATAATAATTTGCACGGTTTAATGTGATATGAGCTAACCGATCTTTAGATGAAATCACCATTGGTAGCGCAATTTATTGTAATGCTTTTTTCCTCAGTTGGTCAGAACAAATGTGGCAGACTTGTTACTTGCTTGTTCAGATGACAATATCCGGTGAAAATTCTTATTTGGGTCATATTCCAAGACGTAGGTTAGAATCTGTGATTACTAAGTACAGGATTCACACGGTGCGGTGACTGACTGCCACACATACTCTTCAGAACATTAGATTCATCAGCGCTGGAGCCGTGCCGACTCACAACCCACGCAAGCTAAATAATTCCGCAAGTAACTGCAATTCCAGGTTTTCAAACAAAGATGGCGACAAAGAGGCAAAACTTATGGACTGCAGCTTTAAATATACTTATTTTACCTAGCTAGCTTGCGTGACAATGTTTTTTTTTTTTGGCTGTTTGGCTGTAATTAACACCAAAGAGCCCATTTAGTGTATCATGGAGAGATATTTAAAATGAAAATTGCGACAATGGACTGTCATTAAGCTATTTTGAAACATTTTTACAAAACAAAATACAGTATCTTTTCAAAAGCAAAATATGCATAAACATAATTGCTTTTACAACTAATGGCTTCCTAAAACATTTTAGGAAATTACATGCAGAGATGGATGGATTGATGAATGAATGAATACACCAGTTATGTTTTTTTTTTGTCTCTCATGCTCACCAAGGCTGCATTGATTTGATTAAAAATACAGTAAAACAAATTATTGTGAAATATTTTATGAATAAATTGAGCAGGATCTCCCCGGAAACCCGCACGTTGTCTATTTTAATATATTTTAAAATGTATTTTAAATATATTTAAAACATAATATATTTTAAAATGTAATTTTTTCCTGCGATGGCAAAGCTAATATTTCAGCAGCATTTACTCCAGTCTTCAGTGTCACATGATCCTTCAGAAATCATTCTTATATGCCGATTTGATTTTTTTTTTTAATATTATCAATGTTGCTAACAGTTGTGCTGCTTAATATCTTAATGGAAGCCATGATATATCTTTTTCAGGATTATCTGATGAACAGAAAGTTCAAAAGAACAGCATTATACAGAAATATTTAAAATAAAAAAAGAAGTCAATTTACTATATACACATTCGCAACACAAAACCACCTCCCCAGTCCACTAAGACCATTTATGAAAGCTAAGCTGCAAATACAGCTATAAATACAAAAATGTCTAAACTATCAGCACATAAACATATCACTGTCTATGTTTACATATCAGTGACTTGCAATCAGTTTAGCGGGGGTGTTGTTAGTCATTTCACAAAAGGTCAACAGATCCTAATATGGGCCATTTTAATAGAAGATTTAAAGGTACTGTTGCAAAAACAGACAGTTTCATTAAAATGTGCAGAAAGGGTCGACATTTGTCTTGTAAACTGATTTTTATGCAAGAAACCTTGAGTAACATTGCTAATTATAAATACAGCAAAAGTGTAGAATTTGGCCGCTTTAATGCATAATCATCAATAAGAAAACAAATGATCTGATCATGAGCGAGTGAAGATATGAATAAAACATTTGTTACAGTAAATTAGTTTAGCATGAATACAAAATGTGTTGCACAAAGTAGCACTTCATGCATCATTGATGATTGATTAAGGAGATGTTTGGAAAGAACATTACAATGTGATATGAGCTAACCGATCTTTAGATGAAATCACCATTGGTAGCGCAATTTATTGTAATGCTTTTTTCCTCAGTTGGTCAGAACAAATGTGGCAGACTTGTTACTTGCTTGTTCAGATGACAATATCCGGTGAAAATTCTTATTTGGGTCATATTCCAAGACGTCGGTTAGAATCTGTGATTACTAAGTACAGGATTCACACCGGTGCGGTGACTGACTGCCACACATACTCTTCAGAACATTAGATTCATCAGCGCTGGAGCCGTGCCGACTCACAACCCACGCAAGCTAAATAATTCCGCAAGTAACTGCAATTCCAGGTTTTCAAACAAAGATGGCGACAAAGAGGCAAAACTTATGGACTGCAGCTTTAAATATACTTATTTTACCTAGCTAGCTTGCGTGACAATGTTTTTTTTTTTTGGCTGTTTGGCTGTAATTAACACCAAAGAGCCCATTTAGTGTATCATGGAGAGATATTTAAAATGAAAATTGCGACAATGGACTGTCATTAAGCTATTTTGAAACATTTTTACAAAACAAAATACAGTATCTTTTCAAAAGCAAAATATGCATAAACATAATTGCTTTTACAACTAATGGCTTCCTAAAACATTTTAGGAAATTACATGCAGAGATGGATGGATTGATGAATGAATGAATACACCAGTTATGTTTTTTTTTAGTCTCTCATGCTCACCAAGGCTGCATTGATTTGATTAAAAATACAGTAAAACAAATTATTGTGAAATATTTTATGAATAAATTGAGCAGGATCTCCCCGGAAACCCGCACGTTGTCTATTTTAATATATTTTAAAATGTATTTTAAATATATTTAAAACATAATATATTTTAAAATGTAATTTTTTCCTGCGATGGCAAAGCTAATATTTCAGCAGCATTTACTCCAGTCTTCAGTGTCACATGATCCTTCAGAAATCATTCTTATATGCCGATTTGATTTTTTTTTTTAATATTATCAATGTTGCTAACAGTTGTGCTGCTTAATATCTTAATGGAAGCCATGATATATCTTTTTCAGGATTATCTGATGAACAGAAAGTTCAAAAGAACAGCATTATACAGAAATATTTAAAATAAAAAAAGTCAATTTACTATATACACATTCGCAACACAAAACCACCTCCCCAGTCCACTAAGACCATTTATGAAAGCTAAGCTGCAAATACAGCTATAAATACAAAAATGTCTAAACTATCAGCACATAAACATATCACCGTCTATGTTTACATATCAGTGACTTGCAATCAGTTTAGCGGGGGTGTTGTTAGTCATTTCACAAAAGGTCAACAGATCCTAATATGGGCCATTTTAATAGAAGATTTAAAGGTACTGTTGCAAAAACAGACAGTTTCATTAAAATGTGCAGAAAGGGTCGACATTTGTCTTGTAAACTGATTTTTATGCAAGAAACCTTGAGTAACATTGCTAATTATAAATACAGCAAAAGTGTAGAATTTGGCCGCTTTAATGCATAATCATCAATAAGAAAACAAATGATCTGATCAGGAGCGAGTGAAGATATGAATAAAACATTTGTTACAGTAAATTAGTTTAGCATGAATACAAAATGTGTTGCACAAAGTAGCACTTCATGCATCATTGATGATTGATTAAGGAGATGTTTGGAAAGAACATTACAGTGGAAACTATTCAAGAACATTTGGGACTAAATGATTATCTTAATTTGAGTCAGAACATTTCACAGTAAAAGCATTTTGTACAAATCTGTCCTATTAATGTGGGAAATATAATCTGAAATATGTAATGATCAGAATCCAGCAGGGATAGGAAGCTATGGTAAAGAAGCAGATGGTCTAAATGAAAAAAATATGTTTAACTATGTTATTCCTGAGAGAACTTGAGTATTTTGCGTAACTGAATTTAAACACTCTCCTCCCTTAAAATTTGCATCTGAAAGGGAAACTGCTAAAAATGCATATGCAATAAGGTCAGTTGCAAAAATAACTGTATCCACGCCTTTTCATCGCTAATGTTTCACTGTGTGTCTTTAGAAAATCCTGACAGTAGTTTTTTCCTGACAGAGGGTTTGCACTGACGCAAGCCGTTAGTAAATCTGGCCCCAAAATATAAAAAAATGTTTTTGGTAATTGAAACAAACCTGAGATTAAATAAAATCTTAAAATTAGAAACAAATTAAGCTGAATGAAAAATTACTAAAACTAAAATAAAAATAAAGCAATGTAGAAATATAAAAAATGAATAAAAGGATAAAATAAAATTACTAAAATTAAACTGAAAACTGAAATATAATATAGCAATTATCATATTATATATCTATAATATAGCAATTCAATATTGATTTCTGTTGGTTCATATACCCATTTTTGTTTGCAGAAAATGCTCAATTCATCATGTTTACAAAGCTTGAAATACATACTCTAATTATTGACCTGATACAAACTTAAAGTCTTTAGGGGAAGGAACCATTAGGGGAAGTCATGGCCTAATGGTTAGAGTTGGACTCGTAATCCAAAGGTTGCGGGTTCAAGTCTCGTGCCGGCAGGGATTGTAGGTGGGGAGAGTGAATGTACAGCACTCTCTCCCACCTTCAATACCACGACTGAGGTGCCCTTGAGCAAGGCACCGAACCCCCAACTGCTCCCCAGGCACCCCAGCATAAATGGCATTCCCACTGCTCCGGGTGTGTGTTCACGGTGTGTGTGTGTTCACTTTGGATGGGTAAATGCAGAGCACTAATTCCGAGTATGGGTCACCATACTTGGCCACATGTCACGTCACTTTTTTTTTCTTTTTTAAAGACTGTAGGGCTGAGCTAAAGAAAGACTGACCTGTTCCTGCCCCGAGCCGCACACCACCCAGGAAGACGTTGCTGGCTGGCCACATGTCACGTCACTTTTTTTTTCTTTTTTAAAGACTGTAGGGAAAAGGGCTGAGCTAAAGAAAGACTGACCTGTTCCTGCCCCGAGCCGCACACCACCCAGGAAGACGTTGCTGGAGAACGGCTCTCTGTCCCACACTGTCAGCTCCAGACACACGCTGTCCAGATCGCTGTGCTGCAGGCCACAATATGTGAAGGTGTGATTCCAGCGTGGGTTTACAGTGCGCTTCACCATGGCTGTCTTGTGCTTTGTGTTTTTCTTGTCATCAGGCAACAGGTATCTGATACACAAGAAGAAAAGGAGTAGGAGTGAGAGTTTACAAAGTGCACTGTATATGGAGGAGAAACTGGAAATCAACTCACCCTTTGACAAACGGGTCAGAGGACCCTCCTTTGACGGCTGTCAGGCTTTTTGCCTCTTTAACCAGCAGCTCCACCATTCCTCCTTTAGGGAGAGTGATGGCCTTCTTCTTTCCTTTTAGAAATCCCTTTTTTACTGAGAAACAAAAGAGAGCTTGATTAAATACTAATAATATACAGAGAGCTTCTTGGAGCTCAAATAGAAAATTCAAAATAAAAATTGATTTTAAACCAATCTCATGTTTGTTTTTTTTGCTGTGAAAATTATTAGATATTATATATAAACTTATCTAACATAAAATTAACCTACCATGGAAAGATGAAACATCTGTAAATGTACATTACGCATTTTTATTTAGAATTTACATTATTTGATTTTTCATTATTTTATATTTTTATACGTTTACTTTATAAATATTCATCTTTTATGATGACAGAATCTTAAATAAATAAATATATTACTATTAATAATCAAAATAAATTATTCTTCCATGTAATATAGTTTACAAACCTAACCGTAAGCTGTTTATGATTGATAGGCAACATAATAATTATAGACCACTCCATAAATAACTGATTGCCATATTAATGTTCAATAATGTGCTTTCATAGAAGTCATAAGTTTTACCAACAATGAAAAGGTGGAGAAATGATGTAATTTCTAATTCTAAATCATACCTTGGACTTGGTCCAGAGGCAGGGAGAGATTTCGCTCTGCAGGAATGTACTTCAAAACCACTGTCAGTTCCCCTTTGTAGTGAATCACTGCGTCCACATAAGACTCATTCTGACACAAACACACACATTTCAGTATCACTCGTATCCATGTCAACACACTCCTCTTTATCTCTCGCTGTTTCTGTTTGTGTGTGTGTGTGCTCAGCTCACCCTGGGCTGCAGAGCGAACCACTCCTCTATTTGCGTGTCAAACTCCCAGGAGTCAAAGGTCAGCTCAGCCTCCCCCAGGAAGCTGTTGTGTCCAAAACGATCATGATGCCACACAGAAACCTGCAGTGTGCGTGTCTCCAGCTGAGAGTGACTGACCACGTACTATACAGAGGAACAGAGACAGATAAGAGCCTTTAAATCAATATCTAATTTGCACCTTTCTCATCAATCTCAGTACAAAACCTTGTGAGGCAGGCATGAACGTCCTCTTACCCTCAGGTTTTCATTGAACACTGGGTTAGTGGTGTTGCTTTTGATGCTGGTTTTCATCTTGCTTTGACGGGACTTGTCTGGCAGGAGATATGTTTTAACATAGCTGCAAACACACACATAATACCAAAATCATAATACCACAATATCAGCCTCTGACACTTTGGTAGTGATATTAAATTGCTATAAGAGGCAACTAATAAACAACTTCAGACAACTGATTAAATTCAACTAGAGCAGTCAATATATTCAATGTCAATAATTTGTGATTAATCTCATAGTCACTGGGTTAATGGAACACTCCACTATTTTTGAAAATAGGCTCATTTTCCAACTCCCCTAGTGTTAAACAGTTGAGTTTACCATTTTCGAATCCATTCAGCCGATCTCCGGGTCTGGCGGTAGCACTTTTAGCTGTAGCTTAGCATAGATCATTGAATCTGATTAGACCATTAGCATCTCGCTCAAAAATGACCAAAGAGTTTCTATATTTTTCCTATTTAAAACTTTACTCTTCTGTAGTTACATTGTGTACTAAGACCGACGGAAAATGAAAAGTTGCCATTTTCTGTGCCGATATGGCTTTTAATATGGAACTTTCCTGATATGGAAGTTAGCCTATTTTCAGGCGCTGCGTAATATCATTGCACCTGCTGCACCCATGGTATGGCAGCAAAGTTCCTTGATTATTACGCCGGAATGAGAGTATAGTTCCTAGCCATATTGGCCTAGAAAATCGCAACTTTTCATTTTCCGTCAGTCTTAGTACACGATGTAACTACAGAAAAGTAAAGTTTTAAATAGGAACAATATAAAAACTCTTTGGTTATTTTTGAGCGAGATGCTAACGGTCTAATCAGATTCAATGATCTATGCTAAGCTACAGCTAAAAATGCTACCGCTAGACCCGGAGATCGGCTGAATGGATTAGAAAACGGTAAACTCAACTGTTTAACTCTAGGGGAGTTGGAAAATGAGCCTATTTTCAAAAATAGTGGAGTGTTCCTTTAAAAAATGTGTTTAATTTTAAATGAAAGAAAACAAAAAGTGTTTTGTTTGGCAAATTATTTAGATAGTAATATATTTGGATACTGGACTGAGGTCAATTTTTGTACTATTTTACACAACTTTAACAGAATTAAAGTTAGAAGAAAGCTTCCGGAAGACATTGATCAAATCTTTGGTACATATATTTTTATCAGTTAAACAAGGACATTTATTAGATCTTAATATACCACATTTGGAAAAAAATATATAATATTTCAGCAAAACATGGCTTTTAGTGTTTTAGTAACATCTTTTAGTAACAACAAATAGTGGAACATTTCCACTAATTCAAAATTTGAAAATTACAGCATTAAAGGAGTAGTTCACCCAAAAATAAACATAAAAATGGCATAAAGTAGTCCTTACATCCAGACACATTTTCTAAAGCCATAGAATGGCTATATGAGGAACAGATTGAAATTTAAGTCATTAAATTAACAATAATTATCATCCTGAAAATTAATTATTAAAATTTGCTCTCATTAATTGAAATAAAATAATATTGAATTGAAAAACTTGTCAAATGGAAATGCTGCATAACTAAAATAAAATACCTTTATGTTGATGTACTAAAATTGCTAAAAATAAAACCAAAAGAAATATAAAGCTAAAAAAGAAAAATAAATAAAAGCTAAATACAATACAAATACAATACTAAATACAAAAAACTAATAAAAATGACAAAAGCACATAACTAAATTACTAAAACTTAAAATTAAAATTAAACTGAAATTATACAAATAAAAGCTAAAAATATTAATTCAAAACATTAATAAATACTATAATAGTATATAAATAATACTAAAATAATACTGTTGGTCAGTAAATAATGACAGAATTTAAATAAACTAATAAAATAATTAATATAGTTAATGTTAATACATTGACATCCCAAATACATGCAGTGCAGAGATGCTCTACTAGGGCTCAAAGTGAAGTGTATAGTATGTGTTTGTGTGTGTGTGTGTGTGAGTATGTGGCCTTACGCATCTGTGCGCTGTCTCCTATCATCCCCAGTTGCTAGGCAGCGGCACTCACGGACGAGCACGTTTAAAATAATATTGAATTGAAAAACTTGTCAAATGGAAATGCTGCATAACTAAAATAAAATACCTTTATGTTGATGTACTAAAATTGCTAAAAATAAAACCAAAAGAAATATAAAGCTAAAAAAGAAAAATAAATAAAAGCTAAATACAATACAAATACAATACTAAATACAAAAAACTAATAAAAATGACAAAAGCACATAACTAAATTACTAAAACTTAAAATTAAAATTAAACTGAAATTATACAAATAAAAGCTAAAAATATTAATTCAAAACATTAATAAATACTATAATAGTATATAAATAATACTAAAATAATACTGCTGGTCAGTAAATAATGACAGAATTTAAATAAACTAATAAAATAATTAATATAGTTAATGTTAATACATTGACATCCCAAATACATGCACTGCAGAGATGCTCTACTAGGGCTCAAAGTGAAGTGTATAGTATGTGTTTGTGTGTGTGTGTGTGTGAGTATGTGGCCTTACGCATCTGTGCGCTGTCTCCTATCATCCCCAGTTGCTAGGCAGCGGCACTCACGGATGAGCACGTTGAGTGCCCCTGTTTTATAGCTGTAAGAGATGTTGAGCAGGATCTCCCCGGAAACCCGCACGTTGCCATAGTCCCCCGTCTCACTGTACACGCTCATCATACTGTTGATGCTGGTCTGGAGAGCACATACAAGGAGAATCTTTGGGTGTGCATCTTTCACAAGCTTGTGTCTGAGTGTAAGAATGTCTCTTCAGTGGTACAGAAGGGCAAGAGAGAGAAACTGAAGCGAACAGAGCAACAGACAGACACACATCTGCACACAAACACACACTGAACACTCACAGTGTCAGCATCTGAGTCAGGTACATTTAGGAAACCCCACTTTCTCTCCGAGGCAGGTGTGGAAGACTAGAATAAGATAGAGAGAGAAAGAGAGAAGAGAAGATTGATAGCAGGGGAAAAAACAGAGAGCAGAGAAGTAGAATAAGAAAAACATAGATAATATGACAGAAGACAGATTGCTGGAGTCAAGAAGTAGCTTTTTCATATTTGATTATGACTGTGTCATGTTTACTCACCCTTATGTAATTTTCCTCCATAAAGGTAGTGTTTTTTTTTTTTTCAAATTTAATTACCCAAACATTATCTTCAGTTTCATTTTTCAGCTAAATGAAGGCTTTCATTTCTGTTTCAGTGTTTTGTAATCACTACTCCTTTCCATACAATAAAATTGAATTGGGAACTGGAGCTGATGGTTTCCAAAAATTACAAAAAGCACCATAAAGGTAGTCCATAGGTCTTTTGAAGCCATACAATAGATGTAAATTCTGGCACAATACATCTTGACAAGGCACATTTGAATTTACATGAAGACTTGTAAGATTTGAGAGCTATGGCACAAAGCAATTTTTTTCAACAAGTGATAAATATTGCATAATTTATTTCTGTTCATTGAAATATATATTTGGAATATATCACAACAGTTGTTTGGGTCACTTTAATGGTACATTTAAGGTTATTTTTGTCATTATCTCCATTCACTTTCACTGTATGTAAAAGAGCAGCATTAACATTCTTCAAAACATCTTTTGTGTTCTTCAAAACTAAAGAACATCATGCAGGTTTGGAATGACATGAGGGTGAATAAAAAAAAGACAGAACCTTTATTCTATGAAAATATGAATGTAGTTGCTAGTTTTTTGCTTTTCTCTTGTGTTCCCTCTCCATCCCGCATCTGACTCATCTAGCTATTAGAGACTGTGTGTGAGCTACGAGTTATGTCAGCTTTTTTGAAAGAGGCCACTTGTCTTATTGTTTGCCTGAATGATCTCTCTTTGTTGAATCTTAATACACCATCTGCATTTGTATGTGTGGCCGGAAAACTGAGAAATATGACAATGATGCACTCAGTAGTTATTGTGTGTTTTATCTATGCTAAATTGTGTGTATATGAGATTGGGCAATAAAAAATGCATGCACGGGTCTGCCAGGTGAGTCAACAAATTAAGTGATCTCATGAAACTGGATATTTTGCCAGAAGGAGGAAATGCTAATATCCATAAGGCACAAGCTAGAACAAGTTTTAGAGCGTATGGTGTACATTAATATCAGAAAAAGGAGGTAACGAGTTGGGTTTCTGGCTCCCCTGTCATAAGGCACACAAATAAAAGTCTAAACATCGAGTATGCACAAGCAAAACACAGAAAGAGGAACGAATACATATTTTGTTTCAGTCAGACATCTCCACAAAGCCAGCAAACACAAATTGCAGCAAAGCTGTGATTATGGTGTTTTGTGTGTGTGTGTGTTTCTGTTTAAATCATTATACCATTGATTGTGCACTGCAGATGCTCCGGTTGGTTTTATAGTGTGCTGATAACGCCGCATCAATGTCCTCATCTGAGTCCTAGAGCACAAACACTGCCTTCAGCGAATATTACATCGAAAACAGCACTGGTTTCTTTCATGCGATCACTTCACTCAGTGATATGATATCAGAAATATCACATTACAGAAGGCTGTCTCTTATCATTTTAACTCCCTGCCTGGAAATCATATCCTGCACACAGGGAAAAATAATTATTGCAAGTGAGGAGTGGTTTAAGAGATTGTGTCTGAGATCTACCACATCGTTCAGGCCTGGAACAGAGCGGCATCGACTAATCAGAGGGTCTTCACTGAACCCCTCAACAGGATTACTAAGGTCCAACTCAGAGCAACTGCGATCTGTGAAGAGAGAAAGCAGCTGTTTTTAACCAAAGTTCTGGCCATTTTATATTTTATACTTCTACAGAAATACAGTGAGGTCCAAAGTCTGAGACCACTTGTATAATAGTAAAAAAAAAAATTATTATAACATCATTTAAGCAAAACGTTTAACTGAAACATTTTCAGAAACAAATTTCAGAATGTCTTAAGTATTTGGTATGTTCATGTAAACCCTGATGATCATGTTCTCCAGCATGATTTGAGAAAGATACAAAGTGCACAAAGGGGGGCCTTAACATTACTTAAAATAAGACAAAACAAGCATAAAACAAGCTAATATAAGTAAAAGTATAATTCTTAATTCAACAATTTTTTCTTCTTTGAAAGAACAGTGTAATCACTGTCTTGAAAAACTTGGATATATGAAGCAGCCTAATTAGTGTGAAAAAAAGTGTTATTTCTAGACCTGAAGAAGTCATGTAAATTAATAAAATCGTATAACTCCACAGGTATTTTCATACATTTGATCAATTATTTATTTATACATTTTATACATTTATCTAGTTAGTCCAAACTCTAAAATATTTTATCTGGTAGGAATTGTGAGTAAAAAATACTGTTTTTAAAAAATGCTTATTTTATTAGTGACCTAGAGCACTGTTTCCCAACCTTTTTTTAGTCGCAGAGCGCACATGCATAGAACAGGTTAATACGCTGAGCGTCACACCACGTGAAAGTGAAACCTGAGCGGTGAACTAATTTTCGGCAGCCGAAATTTCAGTTAATCTCTAATTATTGGCGACATCAGAAATGGATATTATATAATAGATGCTTTTTTGAACATTTTAGCTATTTAAAAATATTTAAAAATAATTTTTTTAACACGGCACCCCTGCTCTCGACAGATGGCACCCCAGTTGGGAAACACTGCCCTAGAGTGCCAAATCTTAATAGAGCAATAACGCAGAGTTTTAAATATTTCTACATATATTTCTTTATTTTTTTTACTTTCTTTTTTATAAATTTTTAAGAGAATATATATTTTTTTAAAAACAGTAGAACAAGGGGCACACATACTGTTTTTGAGGTAAGTACAGGTTTACAAATTCACAGACATTGATTATTGTTTAGATTACAAAACTCCACTTACATTTTGTCTACATATATTTCTATTTTACATGATGAAACTGTTTATTCCCATGTTTAAATTAAATTCTGAAATACACACTTTCAATGTGGTCTCAGACTTTTTAAAGTTTTTAATATTACATAACTAATATGGACAGTTTTGAGGGCAAATGTCATTACTGGTGTCAATAGCAGTAATATTATATGTGACCCTGGACCACAAAACCAGTCTTAAGTCCGTTGGGTATATTTTTAGCAATAGCCAAAAAAAACATTGTATGGGTCAAAATTATCGATTTTTTATTTTATGCCAAAACTCATTAGGATATTAAGTAAAGCTCATGTTCCATGAAGATATTTTGTAAATTTCCTACCGTAAATATATAAAAACTTAATTTTTGATTAGTAATATGAATTGCTAAGAACTTCATTTGGACAACTTTAAAGGCGATTTTCTCAGTATTTAAATTTTTTTGCACCCCCAGATTTTCAAATAGTTGTATCTCGGCCAAAGTCCTTTCCTAACAAACCATACATCAATGGAAAGCTTATTCATTCAGCTTTCAGATGATGTATAAATCTCAATTTAAAAAAATTGACCCTTATGACTGGTTTTGTTGTCCATGGTTACATATGCTGTGTTGTTGCCATGGTGATACCTGATGAGAGGGAGGCTCTGGATATGGCGATAGAGGGTGTGCTAGAATCTGTTTGTCTCCGCCCAGCCATCATCTTTTCAAGAACACTGTCACTGCTTAGTATACTAGACACGCTTTCTGCCCCATCCGGCTGAATAAACACATTCACGCACAAGGACAGTAAACACCACTTTCGGGTCATGCACGCAAATTAGTATACAAGAATGCAACTATGCTATCATGTTTTACCCCGTTTCTTGCCTCCGTCTGGGTCGGTGTTTTGACCATTTGTGCTCTCATGTTATTGGGTACTGTTGGTAACCCTGATGATTCCACTGCAACCACTCTCTTCCTAAAACACAGACACTTAATGAGTCTTAATGAACAGACACATGCTGGCACAGAATGCAATCATAGCTTACTGCACTCAAGTTTATACTGCCTACTATTTTTCCAAATTAATATGTGAAACAGTATGCACTATACAACAGGATTAATTTCAAAAAGTGGGATGCTACATTGTTGTCATACTCGGTATACTGCATGTTCAAAATCATGGTTGATATTACTCCTGGCTCATTTGTCACATTGTAAATGGTTCAGTGCATTGCATTATGAGATAGGCTACAGTGTTTACAGTGTTACATTTTAGCAGTTCCAGGCATACAGAAAAAAGCATAAAAAGCGCAAATACTATTAACTGCAGGAATTGTATTGCAGTAAGTGATTCCATGCATAGCCAGCTCAATGGACTGTAAATGATGCCCCTCACCCTTTCCTGTTCTTCCCTGTGCTTTTCTGGGATTGGGGCGTAGCTGATCTCTCCATCTCTGATGATCTGTGAGCAGAGCCTCCATCTCCATAAACAAAAACAGATATTCATAATAAAAAAAAAAAGTATGCAAAAAACCCATGTCTTTACATTGATGAGAACAAAATATAATGCTTAATTTCTCAATCTGTTCTCATAGAGAAATAAACTCGACAAAGCAAAGCTGTTGGATAGACCGAGGGTAAGTAAATCACATCATTGGAGAAGTGTTACTTAAATGTCACGGTTTTGTTCAAAGATTTTTTCTGTCAAAAATATTTTGTGTTTTTTTGTTTTGTCGTTTCGTCCTAATATTTCCAGTTGCCAGAATTCACTATATTTTTTTTATATACTGAAACATATAACTATTCTAATTCAAATCATCAAAAAAAAAAAGCCTGGAGAGGAAAATTTTCCATTATGTCAGGGCTGTCAGTGTGTATTTACGGCAACATTTACAGCCACTGGTTGATGGATGTCTGTGTTGACACAAACTCTGATTTGGTCTCACCTGGAACACTGCTGAGGATTGACTGTTTGACTACATCACTGCTGGTAATGCTGGCATGTTGAAACCTCTTGGATCTCTCTTCCAGAAACCATTCTCCAGTAACTACCTTCAGCTCCCTAAATCAGCCAGTCACACGCAGACAACACTGTGTAAGCACCAATCATAGAAGTGACAACCACAGCCTAATTGGTTCACCTATTAAAGAGTCTATGATCTGTTGACATTTCCTATTGAAACTAAAAGCTGGGGCAGAATATGGACAAAAGCCAAAAAAAAAATCAATTTTGTGGTGTCTTATATCTATTCACCATTGCAGTATGGATGTTGTGTGTGACTCACGCAGTCTTCGCACACATGGTGCATTTGCAGTTGCTGCCTGGAGGCGTAGCAGTGCAGAAGTTGCAGATGCGCCGATGACAGTTGGTACACACATTACCCCTCTGCAGGATGAGACCCAGAGCACGCAGACATATAGCACACTCGCGTTGATCCGCTGAACTACGCCGCCCGGCTCGCTTCAGTTCCAGAAGTTCATTTTTCAACTTCCTGTAGAGGCACAACTGCCATCACTGTTGGGGAGTAACTAAATCGTCACCTTGGAATTATAAAGTTCTGTCTGCCATTTTTTGTCAAAATTGAGTTATTCACATATTATTATTCTGTGACAACTTATTTACATTATGTGATGGTTTTTTTTGTTTTGTTGTGCACATTTTGTGTGCATTGTCTACACTTTGGGACTGATGTATGAAAGAGACTTGTTGCCCATATCCCATATCAAACTTTGAAGCTCAATATCTACAAAACTGCTCAGAATGCAGATAGAACCTTATAATTCCAAGGTGACGAAAATAACGATCCTATAAATTAACTACAGTAGGTCCGCTGCTTTGAACACAGTTCATCTATTCCAAAATGAAGCTACATTTTCAAGGCCACATGGCAATTTTTATGTCGCTTTCACTGACGTATAGTATGTAGTGCTGGAAAGGCCGATTCATTCCAGTGAATTCTAAGGTTCTAAAAAGGATTCACAGATTCGACTCACTACATTTTAAGTGTTTTTACCTGAATATTTAGCGCATCATTATGTGATCAAATCAGTTATATAAATTAGTTATTCGAGTATTCAGGTTTTTTTGTTGTATTTACTATAATTTATTAAAAATTTCAATGCACCCTAAATGGGATTTTTCATTCACTCATAAATCCAAATTTTTTTGTGTTAGAAAACTATGGCTGCAATTAAATTATACATTTTTCAATGTAGTTAGCTACTTTTCAAAAAAGTTTACATAGTCGCGAACTACTTTTGCAAAAGTGTGTGTGTACATGTGCCTTTTCACCTGCTGAATGCCTGCAAGCATAACATCCATATAAAAACAATCAGTTATTAATCAGGGTATTTTAGGTCTAATACTTATTGTATAACTAGGGAATCATGATTCACCTTATAACCTAGTTGAAGTCAAAAGTGTTTAATATAATATATATAGCATACAGCAATGTTCAGAAATAAAAAGACACTCCCAGTAGGAAAAAAAACTTCTATTGAAACCAAGCAGCATTTCTGCTTTTAAGAGTCAGAGAGAGAGGGTGGAAAATGATAATGAAAAACCAATTATTACTCTTTTCCTGCAAAAAAAAACCCTTTGACTAACAAATATCCTCAGAGGGGAAAAATATTTTTAAAAGTATAACATGACTCATTAAATTAAACATTAAAACACAAAATAGTAACTAAATAAAGGAATTAAAATTATTTAAATAGAATAATATATAAGAATAATTCAGAGGCAAAATCAAGCACTTTTTATGTGGTTCAGCATGACAGACTATATTAAGGATCATGATGATCTTTATTATCTGCTTTATGAATAGACTGACAGTCCGGATGTCAGTATGAAACCCCAGCCAAACCGATACAGCTACAGCTACAGCTACTAGTCACAATTGAGGTTTTTATCTAAAGTGACAATACACTAATTGCAGTGGCAGTCTGCCAGCGGCAATCTGGGGTGAAGTGGCTCGCTCGAGAGCACAAGAGTAATAGAACAGGACAGTAATCACTGTACATCATGCATACTTGGGACTGAACCTATAACCTTTGCATTAATAGCTAACACTTTCCATAAATATGGTATATAATAGAGCTTGAAGTCAATTAAATAATGAAGCTGTATGCTCTAATAAAAATATAAATACACCAGAATGGGTATTCTATTCTGTAAATTAAAGAATTGTATTCTTACAATAAGTTCAGTAATAAGCATTGAATGATTCAGCATAGCAAATTCATTCAACACTATAATACGTGTAAAAAATTAAGAAAATGGAATAATATTATTTACTTATCTTCCTGCCATGCTGTAAAAACGGTTCCAATTATGTCCTTGACATTGAGTTTTATGTTTTTTCTGATAAAATACACCAGGGGGAACATCATCCTATAAAATGTTTGCCTGAAAATTGTGCTTGTGAAAATTATGCTTTTGGTAATTAAAACAAGGTCATTATTAAAATGTTTTATTCTATTTATATGACATTTACAAAACTTTTTTAAATTATTAACTTATTTTAATTTTTAACTATTGCATGTCAATAACGACATACATACGTTTAGCTGATATTCATTACTACTATTAATAATGTATATTACATTATAAGAATAGTATTATTATTAGAATAGTATTGTTAACAGATTTTATTATTTACATAAAGTGAGCTTATGTATGTCATTATTTTGATATTCCCATATGATTAAAATTGTTGGATACAGTCAAGACAATCAAAACCATTGAGTTGATTGGGTTAAAAGGATTCCATCCTATTTTATGTTAAATATAACAGTTTGTCTAACTTGTTGATTTAAAAAACATCATGGTACACCGATTTGTATTTTTAGAAAGTGCCAGCTCTGATCTATAACTATTTCAGTCATGTTCAGTTGTCTTTGCTGGAAGCCCCATCGAGACTGAAGCATTGTACTGGCTTGGATCTGTGTAGGACTTTAATTTCCTGTTTGAAGTACTGATTTATGGGTCATATCCAACACCCAGCCCTGTCTAGTATGTGCATGATCTGGGTTAATATGTAGCAGTAACTGCATGCGTGTATGCCATCTCATCTTCGTTCCAGGTTTGTTTGAAATTAATAGTGAGTGACAAATGGGGCGGACAGAAAATATGTGTTCCTGTGTGTGTGTGTGGGCACGACTCGCTTTCCTATATTCTGTTGTCTGTCTGACAGAATCTGAAACACCATGTCTGACGGGTCAGCCTGCATAATCAGAACCTTCAAAAGCTGTTTTCACACCATCATTTACACTTAGAAAAGTGTATGCCATCGGTGCCACAACCACACACATACGTCTATGCGTCACACACAAGTGACAATTATTTGTAATGTCGCAGCACAAAATTGCTTTAAGCTGAATTGCATGCGTGCATGTTTGTGCCTTTGTGTGTAACAGAGGTTCTTGTTCCATTAAGTGTCTGACTCACCAGGAAGACGTGGAGCAAAATTAGGCCTAATTCAAATTTCTCATGCGAGAACTGTTTAAAGGGACACACACACACACACACACACACACACACACACACCGTGATCATTGAAAGTGTAACTTCAGTATCTCCACTTAGGAAAATGACACAGCATGAGCCAGCAATGTCTAGCAGCACTAATTAAAAAAAATCTCTTCTCCCCCTTTCTGCCATCAATGTCAGATAGTTTTTAGTATGTGTTTGAGTCTGAATGTTGGTGTGTTCATTATACACTCCTGAGCAAGGTGTATACTGCTGGGCTGCTTTAATAAAAAACTTACAGGGTTACAAAAGGTGTGGTATCTCTCTGGATCCCACCCTCAGTACACACACATTAGTGTACACAAAGCCTTGTATAAACATACATCAACACACAGCTCTCTTATGTTGTCAAACAATATACAGTACCGTTCAAATGTCTATGGCCTGGATTTTTTTTAAATGTTTTTGAAGATGACATTTTTAAAAATACAGTAAAACAGAAATATTGTGAAATATTATTACAATTTATAAAACTGTTGTCTATTTGAATATATTTTAAAATGTAATTTAATTCTGTGATGCAAAGCTGAATTTTCAGCAGCCATTACTCACTCTTCTCAGTGTCACACGATTCCTCAAAAATCATTCTAATATGCTGATTTGGTGCTCAAGAAACTTATCAGTGTTGAACATGTTGATTTTGCTGCTTAATATTTTTGTGGAAATAATTTTTTCATAACTCGTGGATGAACAGAAAATTCAAAAGGATTTATTTATAAATAGATTATAGACTAAAGCCTTCACTGTCACTTTTGATCAATTTAATGCATCTATGCTGAATAAAAGTATTAATGTCTTTTTTTAAAAATCTTACTGACCCCAAACCTTTGAACAGTAACATACTTTACAAGCATAGTTTAACAAAAATAAAAGAAAAAAGAAAGAGAAAGTTTTCTTTCATCCATGGAATACAAAAGGAGATGTTTACATAAATGCCCACACTGCTCTTTTTCAATGAAAGTGATAAGAATTTGAGGTCATAAGGATTTGAAATCACATGTAGGTGAGTAAATGCTTTTCTGTTCAAATTTTCTACATTTTTCATTTTCATGTGTAAACTAAATCCTTAAATAGCAGTAAACGTGCCTAATCCACTACCTGGACTAATTAAAAAGACACAACAACAACACTTTCAACAACACCCACAAGCACTGTTATTTCATTGTTACCCAGACAGGCTCTAGTAAATATTAAGACACCAGAAAGGAATAATGCTGCCTTCAAGTCCTTCTGAGAAATTCCTATTTACCAGCTGAAAGTCATCTTTACTATGTGATGTGAGTTCAAATGATTTTGGTTGGGGGAATAAAGGATAGGGTTTCATATTTGTTTATCTCTTTTTCACTTACTGACAAAAGACAGGAAGTTTTCAGCCCTAGTGCAACCTAATGAAGAGCGCTGGATGCACATTTGGTTTGTAATTGGTTCTTTATCTGTGCATTTTATCTTTTTCATGCTGAAATGTAGTTGCACAAGCTTATCAGTTCATAAAATGCTAAATGTGTAGCATTTTCTGACAAGCTCTATTTGTATTATCCATCAACAGTACGCTAACCACATGGAAAAGAAAGTACATTTTCAGCATGTTTTCTTGTGACATGCCTCAAAATTTTGATTTTTCCCTCTGGTAATTAAGCCACTGTGATACCATTCATATAGTATACGATCATCCCGACATGACCTAAAAGCAACATTAAAGATGACAAGCATGTTGCAAGAACCATGGGAAATGTAGTTCAGTGCATAAATCTTAAGAGAGCAAGTCAAAAAGCTGCCAGTCCAGCTCTCAGCTCAGTAATTACTCCTCTAATGATGGAGACACATTCACCAACAACACATGGCTTAATGGAGATTAGACTCATACATGTTTTATGCCTTTCAGAGAGGCTGCATTAGCATAATAAAAAAGGGACGCAAAGCTATGAAATGTAGATTAGCAAGACAAAACTGGGTCTTGGGTAGTAAGTAGAGCAGTGGCCCACCAATAAGAGATTTTGAGTATTCAAATATCAAATATTAAAATCTAGACAGAAGGGTGGAAAATGACCGATATAATGCCAATGTACATGTTTATTAATGACAGAAATTACATTATATTACACAGTATTTACTCAAAGATCTTTGTGTAAAAAACTGACACAAACAGGAACAACTTTTCAATCACCAAATGAATATGGTCTATTTCAAAGTCATCATTTATGGCAAATATATGGTTCACATATTTTAACATACATGTAAAGGGGCAGCTATAAATGATATGATGTTGTCAGACCAAATATGAAGTATACCATAAGTATTGCTTTTGAATCATTCTCTTTCACTACTTGTTTCCCTTCTTTTTTCAGTTTTTTATAACCAATTCTTACTATGTGTTTCCAGATCCCTACTATCACTACCACTATTAAACCACGCATCACACACTGTAGGCAGTGCATTCCTAACAACCTGCACACTTTGCCTATGTCTACTAATACACTACTTTATTTTTCTATTGGTTTTTGGAATTGCCAGTCTGTTGTAAACAAAGTAGATTGTATTACTTCTATTACTAGTCATTCAAAACTAAACCTCATGGCCCTGACAGAGACATGGATCAAACCAGAGGACAATGCTACAACTGCAGCACTCTCAAATAATTTCTCTTTTTCCCACTCCCCCCATCTGACTGGAAGAGGTGGAGGTACTGGTCTGCTTATCTCTAATGATTGGAAATTTAATCCTTTACCATCTCTGAGTATCAACAGCTCCTTTGAATCACATTCAGCCACTATTACCCACCCTCTTAAAATCCATTTTATAGTTGTCTATCGACCCCCAGGACCACTAGGTAACTTCGTGGAAGAATTAGATGTGCTGCTCTCAACCTTTCCTGAGGATGGTACTCCCCAAGTTATGCTTGGAGACTTCAACATCCACCTAGATAAACCTCAGGCTGCAGACTTCCACACTCGAGTGTTAACTACGGCTACTCACAAATCAGGCAACCAACTGGACCTTATTTACACACGCCACTGCTCCACTGATCATGTACTGTTTACTCCACTGCACACCTCAGATCACTTCCTCCTCACTCTTAACCTCAACATGGTTCCTGACACAATACATACCACTCCACATGTCACTTTTCAATGTAACCTACGCTCACTCTCACCCTTCCGGCTATCTGCTATGGTTTCATCAATGCTTCCTCCCCATGAACAGTTATTATCTCTAGATGTTAACAGTGCTACTGATACTTTCTGCTCCACTCTTACGTCTTGTTTAGACAGTGTTTGCCCCTTGTCTTCCAGGCCAGCTCGTACCACCTCTTCTGCCCCTTGGCTATCTGATGTTATCCGTGAGCATCGTTCTCCCCCTCCTTCATCAACTCTAACAGCTGTCGACTTTGCCACATTGTTCATTAATAAAATTACCAACCTCAGCACAGTTTGCCACACCACAAACTCTCAAACACATCTTACCAGCAAACATACACTCGTTTTCATCCTTCTCTCCACTCTCTGAGACAGAAGTCTCTAAACTCATCCTTTCCAATCATCATACTACTTGTCCGCTTGATCCTATTCCATCTCATCTCCTTCAAGCCATTTCTCCTACCATTGTACCTGCACTCATTCACATCGTTAACACATCCCTTCACACTGGTGTTTTTCCCTCAACATTTAAACAGGCTCATATAACCTCTCTTCTTAAAAAAAACACTCTTAACCCAACTCTTTTAGAGAACTACAGACCGGTTTCCCTTCTACCTTTCATTGCAAAAACACTTGAACGAGTTGTGTTCAACCAAGTCTCTGCCTTTCTCACACAGAACAACCTCCTGGACAGCAACCAAACTGGCTTCAGAAGTGGACATTCGACCGAGACTGCCTTGCTCTCAGTTGTTGAAGCCCAAATCTTCTATACTTATCTTGCTGATCTGTCCGCTGCTTTTGATATGGTGAACCACCAGATTCACCTGTCAACCCTATTGGAAAATGGCATCTCAGGAATCACACGCCAGTGGTTTGAGTCTTACCTTTCAGAAAGGTTCTTCAAGGTAACTTGGTGAGGTGAGGTGTCCAAGTCGCAACATCTAGCTACTGGGGTGCCTCAGGGCTCAGTACTTGGACCACTTCTCTTCTCTGTCTACATGGCATCACTAGGTTCTGTCATTCAGAAACATGGCTTTTCATATCACTGCTATGCTGATGACACTCAACTCTACCTCTCATTCCATCCTGATGATCCGACGATAGCTGCTCACATCTCAGCATGTCTAACAGACATTTCTTGTTGGATGACGGACCATCACCTTCAACTCAACCTGGC